TATGGTTTCTTAGGAGCAAGCAATTGGTTCTTCCATGAACACATATCAAGAGTGTCTTGGTTAAGATCCCAAATATTTCACCAATGCCTTTTGTGACCATTTGGAGCTATATGGTAGGGCTCTTCGACAGATGGATTCTGTGTTTATCCCCTCTTCCTTTGCGTCTACATCAGGTAACACCACCTCTGCTTTTCATGTTTCCTCTCAGTCTTTGGAATCACTATGGATTATTGATTTTGGAGCCTCCAACCATATGATCGGTAAGTCTTCTTTGTTTTAGTCCTATACTCTTCTATCTGCCAGAAAAAAAGGTGAGGATAACTGATGGCTCTTTCTCTTTCATAGTTGGTTTGGGAGCTTTCTCTCCGCCTTTTGGCTTTGCTCTTTTAAATGCACTTCATGTTCCTAATTTACCTATTAACCTTTTGTCCATTAGTAACATTGCTCATTCTTTAAATTGTTTAGTGACCTTTCTTCCTCATTCTTGAGTGTTTTAGGATCTGGATTTCTAGAGGACAATTGGTAAAGGAAACTTGATAGATGGTCTCTACGTGTTGGAGAATAAAGTTGGTCTTGTGGCTTCAAAGTCCTTGAATCAGTCCCTTGAGAGTTGTGTCTATGTATGACACAATAGTCTGGGTTACATGTCCTTTGAGTCTTTGAAAATTTTACTTCCATAATTATTTAAGTTTATGTCAATAACTGAATTATAGTGTCAAACGTGTTAGTTGAGTAAGCATTATAGAACCTCTTTTCCATTAAGAAATAACAGATTGGATTTCCCTCTCCATATTGTGTATTTTGATGTGGGGGGTCCTGTTATTATACCCTTTAAGGCTGGTTACAAATATTTCATTACATTTATTGATGATTACTATTGCTACACATGGGTTTATCTGATGCGTTTAAGAGAAGTACCAAAAATTATGCAAGACTTCCAGCATATGATTTTCACCTAGTTTCAGACTAAAATACAAATATTTCAGTTTGATAATGCAAAAGAGTATTTTCGTGGTGATTTGACAGAATTCTTTGCTTCATGTGGCTCTCCATCAAAGCTCATGTGTAAAAACACCCCAACAAAACGGTGTTGCTAAGAGGAAGAATCGTCGTTTGCTTGAAGTTGCTTGGGGCATCTTATTACACATGCATGTTCCCAATCGTTTTTGGATGGATGCTGTTTTATTTGCCACATATGTTATTGGCTACATGTCTTCCCAACTGTTAGAGACAAGACCCCACACCGACTCTTGTTTCCTAAGGCTTCGTTGTTTTCCATTCCTTTGTGTGTCTTTGGTTGTCGATGTTTTGTTCTTGATTTGTCTTCCACTCGTGGTAAACTTGATCCCAAAGCCATTCCTTGTGTTATCCTTCCTCTCAAAAGGGATTCAAATGCTTGGATCCTATGTCTTGTAAGTATTATATCTATGGATGTCTCTTTCTTTGAATCTAACCCTTCTTTCCTGTTTCTCCTTAGGGTAGAGTAGGGTTGAGTAGAAATTTATTTAGGTTCTGCTTCCTCATCTTCATGGTCCTCCTCCCTTTCATATTTTTCTACATCGTTGCAAGGGTTAGTAGAGTTTAGGAGCTGTGGGACAACCTGAATTCATGCAACCGATATCATAAAACTCTTTGGGGGTATATCCTCATTAGCTAGGTACTCTTATCCTTATTGATACCTCTGATTCCATTAATATTGAAATTTTTGCTGCTAGTGATCTAGACCTTCTTATTGACAAAAGGAAGGGTGTGAGGTTGTGCAACACTAGTCATCCTATATCATATTATATTTCCTATGAAAAGATCTCTCTTGTTTCCCGTGTCTTTCTTCTATTGATAGCATGTCCATAAGGGTGTGAGGTACTCTATCTGTTTTTGAATGGATAGATGCAATGAAGGAAGAGATTGATGCATTACATAAGAATGGTATGTGGGAATTGGTGGATCTTCCGAAAGGAAAAGAACCAGTAGGATGTAAATGGGGCTTCATAGTGAAACATAGGGTAGATGGTATAATGGAGAGGTATAAGGCTCGGTTAGTAGCAAAAGGGTTTACACTTTACACAAGTATATGGAGTAGATCATGCAAAGATCTTTGCACCCATGGCCAAAATGAATTTTATCAGAGTTCTGCTTTCTTTGGTAGCTAACTTGGATTGGGAACTTTATCAATTGGACATTAAGAATACCTTCCTAAATGGTGTCTTAGAGGAAGAAGTATATATGATTTTGCCCCTTGGCTTTTGTGCATGAGGTAGTGAAGGGAAAGTGTGTAAGTTAAAGAAATCTCTATATGGTTTGAAGCAGTCACCAAGGGCTTGGTTTATCAGGTTTCATTTGGCTGTTCAACAAATAGGATTTAAGTAGTGCTGATTAGACCACAAACTCTTTGTGAAGAGAGGGCAAGGAAAGATCCTAGTGTTGATAGTATATGTTGATGACATAGTAATTACAAGTGACTGAAGTTCAGAAGTTTAGAAACTAAAGGAGTTCTTGGCTACTTAGTTTGAAGTAAAGGATTTGTTGGAAGACTACTAGTGATCCTATTAAGGATGTCAAGCAATATCAGAGACTTGTTGGAAACTTTTATACTTATCTATGACCAGGCTATATATTGCTTATGCTGTGAGTGTACTTAACCAGTTTATGCATTCTCCTAAAGTTGCTTACTTAAAAGTTGCTGAGAGAATTCTCAGATATCTCAACAAGTTTCCTAGAACTAGGCTATTGTTCAAGAAGAGTGGTCACTTAAAGGTTGAAGTATACATTGATGCTGACGGGCTCAATCAGTTGATGACAGGAGGTCTACTAGTGGGTATTGTACCTTTGTAGGAGGTAGCCTGATTACTTGGATGAGCAAGAAACAAAGCATGGTAGCCAGGTCTAGTGTAGAGGTCGAGTACAGTGCCATGTCTCATGGTGTTGCAGAGATCCTATGGGTAAAGAATATGTTGGAAGAATTGAGTTTTGGTGTTAATGGTTCTATGTCACTCTATTGTGACAACAAAGCCACCTTTAACATTGCTGGCAATCTAGTCCTGCATGATAGAACCAAGTACATAGAGGTGGATAAACATTTTATTAGAGAGAAGCTTTAAAGTGGGGGAGGTGTGTACCGTCTATACCGTCTGTACTGTCTGTACCGTCTGTCAGTTCCAAAGAACAATTAGTAGATGTGTTTACAAAGGGGCTTCATCATTTGCAGCATAATAACCTTTCTGACAAGCTGGGCATGATAGATATCTTTGTCCCAACTTGAGGGGAGTGTTGAGTATTTATCTTTGTATATACTGTATGGGCATTAGTGTCATTTTACCCTCTTTTTATTTTTATTATGTCACTGTTATAAAACATAACAGAGGTGCTGCCAGCCCTGGTTTTTTGGTCCTCATTCTCTTCTCTTCTCCGCTTCTTCTCTGTTTTCTCTTCTTTTTATTGTGGTTCTATAAAATGTTTTTGCATTCTTTATTTCTTGAGATAATAATTAAAAATAGTATACTAGATTATTCATTTTGTGGGTTTATATGCTCATTTCTTTATATTATTTTCTTATTTGTTAGGTTTCAATGCATAAATGTTGGTATGCTGTCTTGAACCCTTGGAGACTTCAAAAACCTGAACCAATAAACAAGGAAGAACTTTAAACTGTCCAATAGGCATTCTTCTTTTCATCTTCTACCCTTTTTTATTCTTTTCCTAGGACAAAAAAGGGGCTCAATCCCTATGTTTTTTGAATCTTCTTTTCTTTACTTTTTCTTTTCATGAATATGTTGATTTTCTATGATGGCCTGATGGGTAACATGATTTTAAACATTTTGGGGGAATAGAAAAAGGGGGACAAGTGACCACTTTGTGGTTCTTGGCACTTTATCATTCTTGTAAATATATCCAAATATCCAATACTTTTTTCAAATCAATAAAGTTAGATGTTACCAAATAAAAAATGTGTTGATTCTCTCTGTTTTAATCTGACTTTATAATTTTTATGAAGATTATTGATAATTACTAGTGAAAGATGGTTGTTGGTTGCTAAGGAACCTAGGGAATTACTTAGGATTCAAGATTTTTTTTTTTTTTTTCTTTTTAAATCCATTGCCTACGCATCCACCCAAGTGGGTAGATGACAAGGTGCTCTTCTATTGCCTAGCCTTGCCTTGGTGCCTTGAAAACTATAATCTGTAAGACAAATAAAGCTACTATGCTAATAGAACTAAAAATAATGTAAAAGTAGCATTCAACTGTGCCTGCTTTCTTTCTTTATAAATAAGGGGACTAAATGCCTCCTATGAGTAAGTTACATGACGAACTGACAACTTGGAAGCTAAAAGATGGGCATAGTAACTGGTCTGTCCAGGCCCATTAAGGAAAACTAGGTGTTTTCTTATCAGTCTCAGTCAGCCCCTGCACAACCTCTTTCTCCAGCATCTTTTGGTGGTCATTTTGACCCTTTATTTTCACCTCTTAGCACATGATTCAAAAGTCTAATACCTTGGGTTTTATCAGTACATTTAAACATCAGATCTGCTATGAACCACTGTGAAACTAAAGGCCCTTGGGAAAGAGAGGTCCTTTATGTAATAAGATGTCTCCATGGATGCTTATTAGCATCAAACTCATGGTAGAAAATGCACCAAGCTTGTTGGAACTATTAAATATCCAATCTGCAAGGGAAACCTAGGAGAAGCAATGTCAAATAGAATGGTCTTGTGTGTTATGCCCAATGAGGCAACTAGTAGCTTCAGACCTGATTCAGAGGTGTTATCCCTATTTCATTCAATAATGATGGTACATATGCTTTTTTTAAGAAACCTAAGTTTAGCTTATCTCCTTGTGACCATATTTTTTAGAAAGGTCTTCCATGCATTTTTGTTGTGCATTACACTTTATGCCTAATAGCTATTGTTTTTCTATTTTATATTCATAATATATGAGCTTAATGTATATGTATATGTACATGTTACAAATATTTCCTTGGTGTATTAATGTAAGTTGTTTTGTAGCTGTGCTCGTGGCAGCCCAAAACGGCAGATACTATATCGGCAAGCAGGGCATTTTCAGGTATCTTTCTTTTCAATATTTTGGTGTTTGATATTTGTGTCGATTATCTTGTTGTTTCCTAACTCCATCATACCTTTCCTTTTGAGATTCCATGTTCTTAATTATAGGATTTTAACATGTTTTGCTGGACAGGTACCTTATTTAGAGGATCCCAACACTGGAGTAAAAATGTTTGAAAGTGCAGAAATTGTAGAGTACCTCAGAGCAACTTATGCTCTTCCCTAAGAATAGCTTGCCTATAGAATTTGAGGTTACTTGTGCACTTGTATATGATTCACCATATACTTATGAACATTTTTACATGTAAGTATTGATGATAAGAAAAAAGGTCCTTCTACAAGCTTCACTATGATTAATATAGTAATGTTTCACCCCTCATCAAATGATATCCTTGATCTTAGTGTATTTAGTGAAGTAGGTTTTCACACGCATAGGCTCATATGTATGAATCCTGTACATTAACAGCAGCTGGTTTTACAATGCATAGAGAAAATAAACCTTCAATCTTCTCTAGTGGAGGAGACAAGTGTTGGTTTATATTGAAAATTTGCTTCAAGGATGGCATGTCTATTGAAATTTCACTCTCTCCATTAACTGATTTCTGGTATCTGTTGATCGAGTATATTGGGTTTCAATACATGTATTGGAATTTCGCTTTTTTTTTTTTTTTGGGGGGGGGGGTAGCCCATCCCCAACTGAGCCACCATGAGTTGGTGTGTTGGAATTTCGTTTCACTTGGGTGGTCTTTTGCTGCTTTATCAATAATGAAATGGTTATTGACTCAACATTCAACACGAAAATCGTAAGAATAGTTCTTTAGGTTGTTAATGTCTCATGGTGGTTTTTCTAGAAGTTTATGGTGTTGTCTCCATTACACCATATGCTAGAAAAGTATTTTAATTTTTTGATAAAGCAGCTAATGTATCATACATACATAATACTAGATTACTAATACGTACAGGTATGTACATGTGTATCAGTTTATGTATATATTTTAATAAATTATTCATTAAGGTTGCATATCAATTGTTTTTTAATTCCTTGCTTATTTTAGATTTTCTAGTGATCAGCGCCAGCGGATGGCTCACATTCAAAGTTTCAAACATTGTTTTCTTCTTAGAGCTTGTTTGGGAGGGCTTCTATTGGTGTGGTGACAGAGACTCTTCGAAAAGCTACTTACAATAGTTTTATCAGAAAGTCGATTTTTAGGCTCATATAAGCTTATTTTCAGCTTTCCAGATTTTTACCAATCAGTGCTTCATGACTTTCAGTTTTCAAGTTTTCTGGTTCATATAACACTAGAAGGCTAGAAGCCACTGCATGGAAGCCCTTCCAAACAGGCACATAAGCGTCAGTAGAGGGTTGTCAGAAGTGGAAGGGATTTTCATGGGTTTTGTTTTCATGTTTTCGGAAAAAATAAATAAAGAACAGTAACCAGTGGTTTTATCAAGGGAATAGGCCGTTAAAGGTTTGGGTTAAGTTAGGCCTGTTGACATGTCAAAAATTAGTTAACCCCAAGGGTTCAGAAAGCTAGATCCAAATAAGGGTGTCAACGGACCGGTTTGGATTGGACCCTGTCCAGTCTAAAATCAATTTGGACGGATTGGATGGACCAACAAGATATATTGGATTGGACCAATCTGGTTCAAATATATATTAGATTGAATTGGACCTGATCCGTCCGTAATAAATTTATATTGTACTGGGTTGGATTAAGCCAATATCTGTCCATTGAAATAAGATAAGAATATTGGTGCCGATCGACCGGGTTTGGGTTGAAACCAGTCTAAATCAAAACGAATTTGAACTGATTGGATGGTCCAGACATTGAATTGGACCGGTACAAAATGGCCCAAAAGATTCATTGGATTGGATTGGACATGATCCATTTATAATGGACTCACATTGGATTAGATCGGATTGGACCAAATCCAGTCCAATTGACACCCCTAGATCTGAAGTGTGCAAAGAGTATCAGGAAGGCAATTTTAAGAGATGTATTAGGAATTTAAAATAGGCTTACAAAATGTGAAGATATGGTTCAAAAATCAAGATACACACAGGTAAGCAAGGAAACTCATGTAATAAATAAAAAAATGTCAATATATGGGGGTGGTTACATGAATCCTGTTTCACCATTCCTTTTTGTTTAGTGCCATATCCATCATTAAATTATGGACACCATCTATAGTTTGGTAAAAGTTTTAGTGATGGTTGCCAACCTGATGCAACCCTCCTTTATCTGGGTTTGGGACTAGTTCTATAAAAGTGCCATATTGACATATTTAGATTCACTTAAGAAATGTTAAAGATTAATAAAAGAATAAAGAAAAAACATGCATTCACATATCAAAAAACCAATAAAAATCTCATTGGAAGTGAAAACAATATAAATCTTATTAATATTTAAAATATTAATTTTAATGATCAATTAATTATTATTTTTAAATTTTCGGAATTGATATAGTTCTAAGAAGTCTCATATTTAAAATTTAAAACCCATGCATTTCTAATAAATTGTTCAATGTGGTACAGTTTTGAAGCTTCTTACCATTCATGCAGGAAACTTGGGTTTGATTTTCACAAAAAGCATTTTAGTTTTGTACGTTTAAAATGATAAAGAAAAAAACAATTTAAAACTAGGTCATCCCATCAGTGCCTCATGGCGGTATGAACAAAAACTGATACTCCAACTAGGGGTGGTATCCAATTTGAAGATTTGGCAGTGTATTGGAGCATAGGTTTTCAGGCCAGGTCCATTCAAATTCTAACAAAATCCAAACTTGAGCCCTCCAAGTTACATCTCTATTTTCAACATGATCTATAGTTTACATCTCAAATATGATTGCCATTCTATAGTGTTTGGATTTTCTCCTCACAAAATGGTCTTCATATCCACCTCACAAGACAATGCAGCCACACATCCAGAATATTTCTTGTATTTTATGTTATCATTCATGGGGAGATATTATTAATACACAGATGCAAGTGTTGTGACATGGGTGTGAGGAGGAAATCCAGATCATTTCCATAAAAACCAATGCAAAGCTTATAGGTTCCATTCTCGAAAATGGATGGTCCCTAGCCGAAATCTGATGGAAAGGAGGCCCAAGAGAAGATAAGAGGGCTTTTGTCTTATAAAGCTGACAAAAATAATTTAATTCAGGGTCCGTTTGGTTCGTAGATGGAATCGGAATCAGAATGGTCTATTCCCATAATCAGTTTGGTTCAGAGTGGAATGGGAATGAGAATTGGAATTAGCAGGAATGAGATTTCATTCCCAAGGAAAGAACAGAAAATGACCATTCCCTCAAATAGGGGAATATCATTCCAGCAGAAACAGTAATGGGATTCCAATTATGCCCAACCAAACAGTTAAAACCGGAATAACCCATTCCGATTCCAATTTCAGACCCCTATTCATCCAAGTTTTTTCTCTATGAATTAATCAGCCAATGGAACTTATTCTCTGTAATATAAACCTTCTTTTTCTGTTTCATCTCCCTCCCCACGAAAAAAGAAAATTCAAGAAATGACAATATATAGTGTTAGGCTTCTAATTATGAGTTTTAAATGAAAGTAAAACAAAATCATAAACGCATTTTGTTCCTTTGACAAACTGAAATTCAACCATTTGACCAGTCCCAACTCCCAAATGTGGGTCCTCAGGACTAGACTACTAGTCATTCTGGGATCACATATTCCAAATTCATGAACATCTACACCGTTGATTAACATGTTCTAAGAGAGTTTGGATCTGCTGCCATCAAAACACTCCTAACACTGTCCTAACATGCCACTACTGCTGCACATTAGGAGCATCTTCTCCTGAATGACAAAGTCACAAAGAAGATGTTTTCAATGTGGGGCTGTAGTGGCCAGTTGGGACAGTGTTGAGAGTGCTTTGTTGGTAGCAGATCCCTACCCGTACCAAGAAGCTGAAAGAAGAGCAGGTCTGAGGGGAACAATCTGAAAATAGTAAGAACTCTCTCTCTCTCCCCTTCAGTCCAGTCTATGTTTAGAGGAAAATCAACTAACTAATTTAGTCACAGTTCTCTAAACTTAGAGCTCAATTTGGAGGTGAATGAAGCCATCACAACAACCTCAGCCACATACAAATTACGTATTATAAATAAAAAGGAAACGGCCTTTATTACTTCTTGATACTCAGAGAAGGAGAGATCGGGAAAGAGATCGCAGGTAATGGCATTTCATCTCGCCGTTTATGTCACCGGACTTGTTCTATTGCTGGCTTCTCCACTGACCGGGCGTAAGCACCCATCTAAGCATCTGTTCTTATTCATGAATATTATTTCTTCAATTCATTCATATTTCAGTTTTCTTTTGCATGGAATCAAATGCATGGGAATGCAAATTCTATACAAATAAATAAACCAGAATTTCCACTCCTATTTCTTTGCACCAGTGCAAATGAAATTGCACTGGGAACACACCAGGCCTTAATGACGTTTTCAATTTGGAGCTAAGAAATACTTTAGTTTTTGATGAGTTGATGATGTGTTTATTTCCAAACCTGCAGAAAGCCAAGAAATCCCGTTTGGTTACAGCGGCGTGAAAGGCCCTGACAAATGGGGAAGCTTGAACCCTCATTACTCTACATGCTCCGCCGGAAAGCAGCAGTCCCCGGTGAACATTGCAAACGACGACGTCGTCAGTAATTCAAAATTGGGATCTCTAGACATGGATTACAATTCTGCTAATGCTACGTTAATCAACAATGGCTTCAATATTGGGGTCTCTCTCTCTCTCATATCCACAAATTAATTTTTTTTTTCTATTAAATTCTTAGCGTTTCACTGTTTTGCATGATCATGTTTATAGTGCTGCTGAGCATATATATTTGCTTCGGGTAGGGGTTCAAACAAATTAGATTTGAAGCAAAACAGATCGGATTTGAATGGGATATACCTAGATCAAATTTGATCTATTAATAGTTGGATTTGAATTGAATATAGGGGACTTGAACCTATCACTCTTTGAATAAAAAAAAAACCTGTCTTTTAGGCTGTATTTGGTTGCAATGGAAATAAATTTGCACTGATACAAAACTATGCCAGTGCAAATGATTTGTGTAAATTTTGACCTATTTTTTGTTTCAAATTTTAGCTTATTTTGTTTGATTGACATTAAGCAGAATAAAGTAGAATCCAAAACAAAATTAAACAAGAATTTACATTTTTTTATATTTGCACTCCTATGCATTTGTACTAGTATAAATAAATTTGCACCGCAACCAAACACAGCATTAGTAAAAATACAACACAAAAAATCTATATTTGGTCCAGCTAGAAATGGATCAAATTTAAATGATAAAAAACTACTGAAATGTGCATTCAACCTACTGAAACAAAAATAGATCAGCACTCCCATGCACTCATATCAATACAAATGAAATTTACACCATAAACAAAAAAAAAAAAGCCTAAAATTTGCACCAGATACAAACAAATCTGAGCCAGAGACAAGATTTGTACCAGGTTCATTTTTGCATCATTTGTTTATAACCATAACCTGAACTTCTATTGATTCAAAATTTGCACTTATTGTTGGTACAAATTTTGCATATAAGGCTCCATTTGGAAGGAGTACAAATATAAATATGTAGAGCACAAAATCTTGTATTTTGTATTATTTTATACATATTTACACTGTATATATTTATATTTGTACTCCTTCCAAACTGAGCCTAAAAAACTTATGCAAAATTTGCACCACCTTTCTCCTACCTTGATCCTTTCATATAAAGTGAGGACTAATATCATTTTGCTTCCTACCTTATTCCTCCCAAACAAACGACCTTCCTATTTCTTCCATCATTTTTCATATAAAGTAGGGGTTATATAATTTTACTTCTCACAAACAAACAAGGTCTCAAACCAGAATGCTCTATGGGAAAAAAGAGTTTTCTGGATGGGCATTTCAGTAGTATCAAATAAAATACAATGAAAAACCCTAACTGGTGACCTTAATCGAATGAGTCCCGAGTGGACTCACTTGTTTGCAAGCTGTGCTCCAGATATCCATGAGAATTGAGAAGGATAATGTTTTTTATTTTTTTAATCTCTTCCTAGAATGTAAACATGAAAAATATTTTGAGGGTATTTTTGTCTTTTATGCAGATGCTATTTGGGAACGATATTGGAGAGTTAATCGCTGATGAAGAGATATATTACCTGAAGCAAATGCATTGGCATACCCCTTCCGAGCATACAATTAATGGAATCCGGTTTCTTTCTCTCTCTCTCTTCCCAAATACAAATGATATAGTCGATTGGGTTTGGGTCAGTTTTAATCGGGCATCGGGTTAAGACCTGCTCTCATAACACTAATGGGAACATTGAAAAAAATATAGGGTCTGTTTGGTTCAAAGTTGGAAGTAGAATCAGAAGTGAAATGATCTATTCCCATAGTCTGTTTGGTTCAAACAGGAATCAGAATAGGAATTAAAAAACTCATAAAGCCCAAAATATGCTGTCATTTAGCTAAAATCTTGGCTTTTTGGTGAAACATGTTTTGATAGCTTCTTCAAAGATCCTCAATGTATTAGAAGGGGTGTTGGACTTGGTTGGGCTAGATGCTACCTCAACCCGGTTTTAGACAATGGATAGACAATGAAAGGGAAAACAGAAAGCTTTGGTCCGGTCAGGTCTAAGATGCCTAACCCAACCTGATCCAAAATTGTACCATGTCTAGGAATTTGGGAAGCAAATTAAGCACCTTTAGTTATATATTAGCATTTAGAATGCAAATTAAGCATTGAATAATTGCAGTTATCCTGTGGAGCTTCATCTAGTTCATGTGGCTGATGATGGCAAGGTATTAATGGTGGCAATCCTCTACCAGTACGGCAACCCGGATCCGCTCATCGAAGAGGTGTGCAAGACATTGCTCCATAAATCCATATACAGACTACTAGTGAAACAGACTGAGATAGATTTCATTGCACTAATGGTTTTCCCTTAATTGTGATTACAGATTAAGAGCTACTTAGATCAGTTGGCTAAGGAGAAATGTTCAGCTGATGAAGAAATTCATATTCCTGTTGAATCAGTGAAATCCAATAACATTGAGCGCGATACTAGTAAATATTACAGATATATTGGCTCTCTTACCATTCCTCCATGTACAGAAGATGTTACCTGGTACATCCTTGGCAAGGTACTTAAGGGTTGGTTTGTTTGCGGTGCAATTTCATTTGTACTAGTGCAAAATTGTGAGAATGCAAATGAGTTTAGAGCATCTTCTGGTTTACTTTTGTTGTGGACTTTATTTTGTTCATTTGCATTGCAAATGAAGTCAAGTAAAGCCTGAAGCAGAGTGAAGTAAAACATGAAGCAAAAATAAACCCAAAAACTGATACTTCTTTAATGGCATGGATGTAGGTGGTAGAGATATCTAAGGGACAGATTGATGCTATGAAAGCTCTAATGGATTCAGAATACAAGAACAATGCAAGGCCTATACAACCATTGAATGGGAGAAAGATTGAGCTATATGAAGATGGTCATTGAACTAGAACTAAAAGCATGTATGGTCATGAGACATGAGATCATTATCATCCCCATGTGGCCATGGATGTAGTGGTTGACCATGGTGAGGTAGAGAAGTGTAACTCTTCTTCATTAACTTGTTATGTGAAGCTTGGAACTACAGAGTAGGTAAAAAGAAGTCAGAAGTGTGTATTCCAGGGAGGGTTCATTCAATTATGGTCTCTTGTCATAATGTCATTATACATAGAGCACAGTTAGCCTTGGATGAGCAAGTTCTTCCTCTGCTAGCTATCTAGGTTCCAGGTAGAAGTTAGCCTTGGATGAGCAAGCTAGTTTCATAGTCTGCAGCTCCATTTGGTTTGATTTCTAGGCTTTTAATTAGCTAAACTGCAAGTGGATATAGGAAGGTGGAAAACTTACAATTTGGCTAGAATTGTTCACTCAAAATTTCAAGTTTGCCAGTGTTAATAGAACAAAATGCAAAGGTAATTAGATCTAGGGGTGCCAATTGGATTGGATTGGGTCCAATCCAATCCAATGAATGTGTTGGACCAATTTGGACCGGTCCAATTCAATGTTTGGACCGTCCAATCTGTATTCATTTTGATTTAGATTGATTCCAACCCAAACTCGGTCCATTGACACATATATTCTTATCTTTATATCAATGGACCAGATATTGACTTAATCCAACCCAATCCAATATAAATTTGTTACGGATGGACCACGTCCAATCCAATTTAATAAATGTTTTAGACTGGATTGGTCAAATCCAATATATCTTGTTGGTCCGTCCAATCCATCCAAATTGATTTTGGACTGGATGGGGTCCAATTCAAAACCGGTCCATTGACACCCTTAATTAGATCAAGTTTGGCTAGAAATGTTCATTCAATTTTTCCTACTGCTGAGAGGTGCATTGAGTTTTGTCAATCCGGGCGCCATGGTTGCAAAAAGCGAATATCCGTAGGATGATAGAAGCTTAGCCAAGGCCATGCCCTGCCGCCTATGCTCCAATGCCTCAGGCCTGAAGCATAGGATGCTCAGCCCTACATTGGGCTTGGAAGAATTGGGTCCAAACCCAGCCTGCAATTTTTTGGGCAGGAGGCCCAGGTCCAATGGACAACAAAAGACGAGATAGGTGGTAACTGGTAAGAATAAAAAGGGTTAGAAATCTGTGAGACAAGCACACGACCATATGCGAAACTGGATGGGAACGATCCTCTTAAGTCTGTAGCTGGATGGCCCCAGTAACCAGACCATCCAACGGGCTAGAGTGAAGTGGAAAAAAGACGGAGATGGCAATACAAAATATTTCCATGTCTTAGGCTCGAATCATCGAAGGAGAAAATCTGTAAATTGGCTGAAAAATTCTGATGGCATTTGGACTTCCTTGGCAACAGAAATATGTGATATTATAACATCTTATTTTGAGCAGTTGTTTACTTGTACCAATCCTGCCCTTGATGATTTTCATGGGTTTCCTACAGTTGTTACACAAACAGCTACCTGAGGCCTTAGAAATGAAGAATGTTTTATTTAGTATTCCTACAGCAGTCTTTCAAAGGTGTTGGGATATTGTGAAGTTGGTCCAGCATTGTTTCTCCAATCCAGAGGCGATTTCTTTTATGCACTACTGTTGAAATGGACTCTTCATCGACCTAATGGAATTTTGCCTAAAAAAATTGGGGTAGACAAGTTAGATTGCCATTTCTTCCCACCCCGGAGCCATAATGGAATTTTGCCTTTTACAAAAGTTTCCAAAATTCCTTTTTACTACACTAATGATTTTCTTCCACGGTGCTGATGGACTAGCTCAAGAGTGCCTCTAGGTCTAGGTTAGTAAGGAGGTCATATTCCCTTAGGTGGTGGTTCCATGAGAGCCAAAATTCCATTATGGCTTATCTATCATTAACAAAAAGTACTTTAATGCAAGGTTAAAAATATCACAATGCAAAGGTTTTAAAAGGCTAAAGCCTAAATGCAGAGGCAAGGCGGTTGAGTGTCAAAATAATATGGATATAATAATAATCCTTAAATAATAGAGACATGAAAACATAAAATTAATATTTTATATGACTTGTTTGATATATTAGATGTGGGTTTGAATCCTAGGTGTTTTTTTTCCTAAAATTTAAATACTATAAGATCAATGCAATATAAACCTAACTGCTTAATTTAGGCATATGGACCAATAAGTTCAGATTTTCTCCCAATAAATGCTTCCAACATTTTCCCAGCAAGCTATTATAGTTGCACATTGGGAACATCTCCCCTTGAATTACAAAGGAGATGTTCCCTACTTGAAATTTTATTGGCCTGTTAGGATAGTGTTGAGAGCGTTTGTTGTATATTGAAGGGAGTCATCAAAACCGGGGGTTCATACATGTACATGCGCACATAGGACTTGTACACAAGAGAGGGACACCACATACAACCCAAAAGCTTAAGCTATTGGGTTATGGGCTACTCTTGTATATAAGTCCCTTGCACCTTTTGTTCTTTTCCAATGTGCGATTCTCTTCAACCACTCATACATGAATCCCAACAATCTCCCCTTCATGTATGAGTCTCTTCTACGTTGAGAACTCCAAACTCCCCTCACACCATTCCCATGGATAGAGACATCACGGGAAATCAACCGCTCTTACCAATTATTCACCATGTGCATCTGTTTATACTTGCGCCCAGCCAAACCTTCAGCTCTAATACCACATGTATATTTAGGGGAGTCATCAAAACTGAGGGTTCGTATACATAAATGCATGCGTAGGACTTGTACACAAGAGAGAGACACTACATACAACCCAAAAGCTTAAGTTATTGGGTTATGGGCTACTCTTATATACAAGTCCCTTGCACTTCTTGTTCTTTTCCAATGCAGGATTCTTTTCAACCACTCATACCTGAATCCCAACAGTGCTCTGTTGGGAGTAATATCCTTATCCCACCCCAATAGACTTTTAAAACAATGTATATGATATATATCAACTTAAAGGCTCAATCTGGGAAGAGTGCAAATATAAGATTATATGCATGCATGCTTGTATTTGAACTCTTCCTAAGTGGAAAGAATAACAACAAAGTTTAGTGGGGTTGGGTTTTGCATACACTATCCCCGACCTTGAACTCAAATACCTCACTTCGTACTCCAATGGGGCTAGAAATCCCAACCCTATCCTTATCCCTGTATGGAGCAGAGATCTTCGAATTTGTGTTGCCCCTCCTTGATTATTCCTACTTGCAAATTTTATTGCGCTAAGAATGCAGTTGTCCGAATTAATTCTTATTGAGCTAAAGTGATTGATAATTCACTCAAAAGAATTAACCTTAGAGAGCAATGGTTAAAATTAGGTTTGTTTCTTAGGCATTCTCAAATTCTTTCACAGACTTAAAAGTGAAAAATCTAAGATTGGAAACCCAAGGTGTTGATTTCCAGATCTCTAAAGTCATACACTCAGAATTTCTAAGGTTGAAAACTATCAGTAGTCGACTATCCTTGATAGAAAAGACGGGTGTCACCTAGTAGCCGACTACCCATATAGATTCAATTGATTACTTGTGATAATAACCGAGGTTAATGCCACACTGACATTGGTTGATGGTCGACTACCAATAAGCTATAATTAACTATATCTCACAACTGAGAGTAGGTATTTGTTAGAAGTTGAATATCAGGAGGAAGTAGTTGACTACTAGAGAAAAGAGCTCATGATAGTCAATTACTTGCTTTAAACATTTCTAAGTTTGGTTGAATCCTTTATTAATGGATCTATAATGGTCATATTCTCTCAAGCATTATAAATCAATGGTTTTGAATTGAAAAACTCAATAGCTTGAGCTAAAGATTTAGAAAAGTGAAAAAAAAAACATTTTGAATAATAATGTTTTAGAAAATGTGAGATTTGTGGGATTAATTAGATCATATAGGTGAGAAAAGCTTGTGTAGTCTTTGGGCTTATTTGTTTCTCACTAAGATTTTTTAAATTTCTCCAAGTGATTGAGCCTATAGCATCTGTGCATACTCTTGCGTTTGAATAGTTTTTCTTGTATCTATTTTATCAACATATCAAGAGGCATTTGTATTATTTGTGCTTTTTCAATATTTATAATAGGGTGTTCAAGTTCGAATATTATCAAAGGTCTGGTTGGCATTTGCAAGCCTAATTGTTCATGTTTAATTCACTTTGAGAAGTTCCATCGTTCAACTTTTGTTGCCATTCATAAATCCAATTATGTAAGATCACCTAAAAGTCCAACTATTGTAAGGTTTTGCTAGTACTTGAAAGTTTAATTGATTTAGTGAAAATTCTTATGAGGTTGCTTGAGAAGAAAACGTAGGCCTAGGTTTAGCCAATCCTCTACAAGTCTATGCTTTATTTTGTTGTAGTTGATTTATTTCACTTGTTTATTGACTTTGTTAATTTATCATATTGCATTACACACACAACCTTCTATTCCATTGAGTCTTGCATTCAAAGGTTTAGAATGCATTAATTAGGTTAAAATCCTTTAGAATCCAATTCACCACCCTTGGGTTAGATTAAGAATATATATATATATATATATATATATATATATTTGTCCACCTTCCCCATCCCTGTCACTAGAGTTTTGGGTTTCCTTGAGACCCACCTAGATGGGGGCAGGGGGAGCCCCAACAGGGATGTGTCAAATTGTCATCTTTGCTAAACTAGTCTAAGGGTCACCAATAAGCCTGTTATTGAGATTTTAAACTTTTCATCACTTTTAATTGACCATGTGTTGTATTATTTAATCTCAAATTTCCAAAACAAAAAAGTAAAAAGAAGGAGTTCTGATGCTTTAAAAACTCTTGACACACAGACAGAAATACATCTAGAGTATCAACTCACAATACCTTGAACCAAGGTTTTAAAAACTGACCCGAAACTAGAACCACTTTGTCCACTACTTTTCGGGTCAAACTGTTTGACTGTCTAATCCAAACGGTTAGTCCATGATACTTCTAAAATTAAAGAAAGGTAAAAATTAATTAAATA